CATCATCATCATCGTCATCGTCAACAACATTATCATCACCATCACCGTCTTCGTCCCAATCACATCTCTTTCATCGCCAAAATCACTATCGCCGTCATCATTAGCACCATCATGGCTTTGTTAGTCATCTTCTCCAACCATAGCATCATGATCATGATCATCATCATCATCGTCCTCCTCCTCCTCGCCTTCCTCTTGGCTACCATTAACATCATCCCCGCCCCCCCATTTTTTCATCACTACCATCATCCTCTTCATCATAATCATCATAGCCATCCGCCGCATCATCGCCTACCCATCATCCGAATCAACAAATTCCGTCATTGCCGACCCTAGTTCCTATCATCCACTAAATAAGCATCGCCCCCCTCATCGTCATCATGGTCATGGCCAGCTAGCAGCGTCACCACCTTCGTTGATAATGGCGAAAATGGCAGCAGCACTGTCGCTCTCTGATGTTATTTCTGCACTGCTTTATCATGACATACGAGTGGCCAGGAGAAAGTCTGCGATAACCCTGAACCCGAGCCCTAAGCCCCCAAACCCCAAAGCTGGTCTTCAGTCATCACCCCCACGACCAAAAAACAACAACGTTTCTACAAGGGCTTCTACGTCAGGAGATCATTGGAAGGCACCCGTACAATGCAAAAAAAAACAAAAAACAAAACAGAACCGTGCTCCCCGAACATCCTTGTAAACCCAATGCCCCTTACCCCGCGAACTGGCAGAACCCCTGAACCCTGGCCGGCTCTCACATTGGCCACGATGCAGTCCGAGGAGAGTTTCTTGACACCAAAGAAGTCCAATGCCCCCAACAAGTCCATCTGCTCCACCGTGACAAGCCTCGATGCTGATGCTTCTGAAGCTGGTGCCACTAGCAGTGGCCCAAACAGCCCTTCCGAAAGAAAGGTAAGATAAAGGTAGTAAATAAAAAGTGAAACAAAACTGGAACCAGGTGAAACCAAAAGGACAAGAAAGCATCAAAAAAGGTGGGAAAAAGGTAAAGACCAGGCATAGGCCACGTGACTCGGATTTTCCTGCACGTCCGCCCACCAGCCGAGGCAGGCAGGCGGGCTGGCGGGCGCGCATCCCTATCATTTTCCTTTACAAAAGGTCTCGTCTCAGACTTCACCTTTCTCCCACCATTGTTTGCCTTTTCTTTGCCTTTTTGCTTGGCCTGGTTCCAGCTTTGTTTCACCTTGTGTTAACCTTTTTCCTACCTCTTCTTCACCTTACAACTTCGCCCTTATTTTACATTTATTTGGCTTTATTTCACCTTTTATTTAAACTGACATCTGCCTCTGTCTCCACTCTTGTTGTTGCTGCTGGTGTCGTTACCGTTGTCGTTGTCGTTGTTGCTAATGATTCTGCTGCTGGTGTTGCTGGTGTTTCTGGTGTCGTTGGTGTTGCCGTTGATGCCGTTTTCGCTGTTGTTGCTG